GCCTCATCTACTTGCTGCCCCTGCCACTGAACTAAAAGCTCCCAGCTGCCATTCAAGAAGCGGCTGCGAAGAATTGCCTGGGGAGTTGTGGTTCCCAGAGTGTAAGGTTCGGGAGGAAGACTGCCCATTGCTTCTGGAGGAGGTCCTTGGTGTAGCTTGAGAAGGGAGACATGGAAAACATTATGAATACGAGCAGTTGCTGGCAATTGGAGCTTGTAAGCAGTTTGGCCAATGCGCTCAAGAACCTGAAATGGACCAAAATATTTTTGCAACAGTTTGGAATTTCCCCTGCCCACTGTTAGCTGGCGATATGGTTGCAAACGGAGCCAGACTCAAGCACCTGGTTCAAATGAGAGCTCACGGTGGCCTTTGTCAAACTGACTTTTCATCCACTGTTGTGCATGAGCTAATCGGTCACGAGCACGTTTGAGAAGATCGTCACGATCCATGAGCTCTCGATCCACCCCATCCACCTTGGCTGTCCCAGGCATATAGGAGAGCATACGGGGTGGTTCCCTGCCATAAACCATGCGAAATGGTGTGTCGCCCAGAGATGAATGGTATGACGTATTGTAACAATACTCAATCCAAGGAAGCCAACGAACTCATTCCTTGGGATAATGGCTCCTGATACAACGTAAAAACAACCCGACAATTCGGTTAACGACTTCCGTTTGACCATTGGTTTGCGGGTGGTAAGCGGAGGAGTAAACGAGTTTGGTACCAGATAGGCGGAATAACTCGCGCCAGAAAGTGCTCAAAAAGATTTTGTCACGATCAGAGACAATGGATTCCGGTAGCCCATGAAGACGAAATATTTCAGAAAAGAATATGCCGTCTACGGAAACTGCCGTATATGGGTGAGCTAAAGGAATAAAATGGACAGCTTTAGAGAGTCTGTCAACGACAACCAGGATGACAGATTTGTTTCGAACCTTGGGTAAGCCTTCAACAAAATCCATTGATATATCTGCCCAAATGTGATGTGGAATGGGAAGAGGTTGCAATAAGCCAGCTGGTTGCAATGTTAACCACTTGTGCTTCTGACATGTCTGGCAGTCCCGAACAAAGTTGGCCACCATAGTTTTCATGCCGGTCCAATAAAACTCCCGTCGTAGTCGTTGAAGAGTTTTTTCAACACCTTCATGAGCCATGTTATGAAATACCGAGAGCAAAGTCTGAACCACTTCAAATGTATCTAACAAATAGAGTTTGAAGCCGTAATAAATTAAGCCATCTCGTATTTCCCAATCTGGGCCGCGCTTTCCCTCCTGGATTTCGTGACGGATATTATTCATAATCGGGGAAACCGCTTATTCAGACCGGATTTCACTGAGGAGAGTATTGAAAGGAACTGTGAGTGCTGCGAGGTTCATAACCTCTTCATGTTGTCGAGACAAGGCATCCGCGACAGTGTTGAAGCGTCCCGGTTTGTATTCTACTCGGAAGTTAAAGCCCATCAATTTACTGAGCCAATGTTGCTGCGGGGACGTAGTTAGTCGTTGATCCAGTAAATGTTTCAAGCTCTAATGATCAGTTCGAATAAGAAATTCAGATCCCCATAAATAGGGTCACCAATGTGTGACTGCTTTGGCTAACCCTATCAGTTCCCGTTCATAAGCTGCGAGCTTAACATGACGTGCAGCAATCTTGCGACTAAAATATGCGATGGGATGACTTTCCTGTTGTAATACTGCCCCAAAACCAGATCCTGATGCATCACATTCAACAATAAATTCTTTGTCGAAATTAGGTAATTGGAGAACTGGGGCTGATGAAAGGCGCAGTTTGAGCTCGTGGAATGCTTCTTCGGCTGCATCTGTCCAGGAAAAGGCACTCTTCTTCAGCAATTGTGTGAGTGGACCAGCAATCTCACCATAATGGTGAATAAATTTGCGGTAATAACCTGCCAGGCCCAAAAAACCGCGTAAAGCTGTAACTGATCGGGGTGTTGGCCACCCCGTGATGGCCTGGATTTTGGCTGGATCAGCCTCAACGCCTTGGCTATGAATAATATGGTCGAGATATTGTACCTGCGGTGCGCCAAAACTGCATTTGGATTTTTTTAAAGCAAGGCCATGGGTGCGCAAGGTTTCCAGGACAAGGTGGACATGATAAACATGTTCTACCCAAGATTTGCTATAAATGAGTATGTCATCGAAGAAGACGAGGACAAACTTACGAAGGTATGGTGCAAAGATGGCATTCATTAAGCTTTGAAACGTGGATGGTGCATTGGTGAGCCCAAATGGCATGACTAAGAATTCAAAGTGGCCGTGATGAGTTCGAAAAGCTGTCTTTTCGATATCTTCTTCTGCCATGCGGATCTGATGATATCCTGAGCGCAAGTCAAGTTTTGTGAAAAACTTGGACCCATGAAGTTCGTCCAACAACTCATCGATGACAGGAATCAGAAATTTGTCCTTAAAAGTGCGGGCATTGAGTTCTCTATAGTCAGCACAAAACCTCCATGTGCCCTCAACTTTTTTAACTAGAAGGACAGGTGATGAAAAGGGAGATCTGCTTAGGCGGATGATACCTTGTTGGAGCATCTCAGAACACTGCCGCTCAATCTCGTCTTTCTGGAAATAGGGGTAACGGTATGGTCGAACGACCACCGGACTAGTTCCTGGAAATAATGTGATTTTGTGATCACAAGCTCGTGTAGGCGGCAGACCAGATGGCAAGCGGAAGATGTCTTCAAACTGGTCCAGGAGACTTTCTAACTTAGAAGATGATGTGGTAATCATGTGGGCCTGGAGTGGAGGTGCGCCAGCATGGCCATGCCATTCCACAGAAGTGTTCTGCCATCTGAATCGCATGAAAAGGTGTGAAAAATCCCATTCAATGGTGCCAAGATTGTGAAGCCACTGAACGCCCAAGATCATGTCAAACCCGGCCAGTGGAAGCACATAAAAGTCGGCTGTAAATGTGTGTCCGTCCACTAAGAAGTCAAGCCGAGGACAAGTGCCCAAAATAGGTACCCGATCTCCATTAGCTACTAGAACATGCAAATAAGATTTCTGGTGCAGGGAATGGTTACTGGCAGGAACTAGTCTTTGATGGAGAAAATTATGGGTACTGCCTGAGTCCACCAGAACAGTGATGGGCATATTATTAAGGGTGGCGGCTAATTGCATTGTAGAAGTGGAGCCGATTCCAGTCATAGCATGAAGTGAGAGGGCTGGTTCAAACTGCTCTTCGGACTGGTCATCTTCTATAATGTCAATAAAAAATAATTTTTTGCATTGATGGCCACGAACCCAAGGATCGTCACAGTTATAACAAAGGCCCTTTTCCCGGCGAACAGCAGCTTCTGCTCGAGAAATCTTTTTGAAGTGTGGATTGGAGGCGCGCCGTGGTAAATTCGAATCTGCAGGAGCAAGTACTGATTCTGAACGGGCAACTGATTGGGGACGTATTGGAAGTGCAGGCGAAGAATGGCCTATACTGTACTTGCGCTCAACAAGCCTGGACAACATCATAGCAGAATCCAAGTCAATAGGATCCTGGTATTCAACCTCCATGCGTACAACCTCGCGCAGCCCAGCGGTGAATATTTTTACCTGCATACGGGCAGAAATTCCCACAGTTCGAGCCAACATCTGTTGGAATGTTTCAATATAATTCTCGAGATCGCCGGTCTGGCGTAGTTTGGCTAGATCGCCTTCCGGATTTGTGCTACTCGGCGGCCCAAAACGTTTAGTACAGCGACCGTAGAATTCAGTCCAAGAGATAACGGAAGTTCAAGTATCCAACTGATTAGCCCATAGTTGTGCGGTCCCGATCATGTGGAAAGTCGCCAAACCCACCCTAGCTGGAGCAGGTGTGCGTTGCTGAATAGAAAAAACTCTCACAACGTTTTAACCAGGAGAGGAGATCGCTTTTCCCATCGTACTGTGGGAATTCAATTTTCGAGAACCTGGGAACTAAAGAATCTTCAGTATCACGGCGCGAATGGTCTGCCTCTCTCATGCGGTCGAACTGGGAGGAGCTGGATGAGGAATCGCCTGTTAATTTCTACACCGTTGAAGCGAGTGTCTCCATGGCGGCCGGAAGGGTGGCCAGTTGTGCCATAGCGGTCTGCAGATCTGCCAAGGTGTGTTCCACCGCCAGTTGCCGGTGATCGATACTCTCAATCATGGTTTTTAGTGAATCCGCAGTAGGAGTCTCGGTCCCCATCGTCCCAGAATCTGATACCAAGTTGTTAAGGGCGTGAGTTAGAGACCTCGTCCAAGGACGTAAACGGGATTGACCACAGGTAAGGGATGATGTTCCGGGAGCTATTTTTAATTGACGAGGAATAGATGAACTGAAAATAGGGGCTTAATAGATAATTATCGATCTCCGACCTAGTCAAGAGATCTCAAGATTAATTAACCAAAAAGCTGTTTATTAAAGTAGCTGGGATCCCCTTAAATAGATAAAGGGTTTCCTAAAACAAATAGGAAACTAAGTTGCAATTCTAATACAACTTAAATAAAGGAATACTAATTAAAGTAGGACTAATTAAATACTAACATGACTCTAACTGCCTTCTTATTTCTTTTCTCTTAGCCACGTTGGTCATTAATCTTCTCTGCCCCACACTGCTTTCTGCGTTCATATGTACGACCATAATATTGGTCCGTAACAGATAGCTTTTTATATTTTTCATTTCTGCCTGGATTGCATTATTCTCCATTTGGAGAATGATACTCCCTCCGTCCCGCTAACAATGGGACAAAAGAGAATGACACACAAATCAATAAAAAGTGATACATGTGGTTGATATTGAATTGATAAAGTCAAAATAAAGTAAGAATGATTTAGAGTCACCAAACTTTGCCAAATTTGGTATGAGACAATCTTAGTGGGACGAACCGATAAGATAAAATGGGACAATCATAGCGGGACAGAGGTAGTATGATGCAGTAATATATGATCAGTTCTGAGTCAAAGAAATCGTGGTTAGGGTCATCCCTAGTTGAAACTCAAGTTGGTTGCGTATCGAAATCAAGTACACATAATAATTCCTCCGATCCATTGAATTTTGTCAACTTTTTCTTTTTGATTTTCCTATTAAACTTTGTAACTTTCCTATTAAATCAACTAATTTATGATTATGTTCATTTCTATCTCCTCTCACAAACTTTAATCAATGATACTTTGCTCGGACGGGAACTCCGAGCTCAAGAAAAATTAAGAAGAAAATGCTTTTAAATTAAAACCTTGCGACCTACGTACACATGCATTTAATCTTATACAGAGTATAACATTCCTACTTCCGGCTGGCCAGGCGCCTGCTATAGGCGTTAACCCATGCATCTCGATCTCTGCTTGATCATATATATTTCAAAATTTACTCATAGCCACGATCCGGCCCTTATTATTCACTGCCTGAACCCCATCCCAGACATCTGGTTGGGGTACCGGATTCCGAACGGGTCGGGTGCGCTCGAAAACCTTGCTGGCTGCTGGAAGAAACCGGGCGAGTTGTCCGCCCTTAGACTTTTGATCGCACTCTGCACTTCATCATCTCCCGCCGCTTGAAAGTTCATCATTGCCACGGCCTGGCCGTACACGTCATTTGCAGCATAGTTCACGTCGTTCCCGAAAACCACCGGCTGATTCCCGTTGACCAAATCCGGCAACGGGTTAATGCCGCAAGCCCAGTCGAAGTTCCCTGCTCCCAATTCTTGCAGATTCATCAGCTTCTCTTCTTGTTTGATCAGCAGCGAGTTGGTCCTCGGCAGAGCGAAGAAGCGGTCGTCGATCTCCGGCAACGACTCCAGCATGTCGTCCAACTGCGAGGATGACGACGACGACGACGCGTGGCTCTGTTCTTTGCTCTGCCCGCCCGGCCCCATCGCCGCCTTCTCTGCGCTCGTCATTTTCTTGTATATCCGGCAGAGTACCCAATCATCCAGCTGCAAATTTCAGATACTAAGATTTAATAATAATAATAACCATCTTAATTATAAGAGAGAATTCCATAAATTGGAGTAAAAAAGTTTTAAAATTCCAAAATATGAGTATATGTTTTTTATTCCTTGAATAGGAGTAAATTTCTGGCAAGTTTGGCATTACTAGGTTTTAAAACATGTCATTTTTTTCCAAACTTTGCAGATTACTCCTATTCAGGGAATAAAAAACATGATACTCCTATTTTGGAATTTCAAAAAATTTTTGCTCCTATTTAGAGCAATTTCTATAATTATAAACCATAAGCTGACGAAAGAATTGAAACACAAAGAGCTCAAGAGCTTCACTCAATTTACTGTATTGTAATTAGTAGTTGGTAAATAGCGGTTACCCGCATCCCAAATTGATTTTCAAATTTGACTTTTCTTAATCAAACAGTTTCATTTTATTTATTTAATTATGATGTCAATTTTTAATAATTTTCTAATTTGGAGTTTACAACTTTGAAGAGATTTTAATATAGTTTCTGAATATATAAATTTTAATTATTAAAAATGGAATTAATTATTGATAGGGAGCATTGACTTTTTTTATTGCTTGACCAAAAAATACTGATTTTGCAAATTAATTTGGGACGGAGGAATTAGCAAAACTGAGAAGGGGGTAAATTTTAGTCTTGAGACAAAATTTTAAAATCTTTTTAAAAATAAATATTACCTATATGATCGACATAATCAAAGGGATAAGTATAGTATTAACCTATTGAAGGGATGACTTAAGTACCGAACGAAACACGAATATTTTTGGAGTGTGATACTAAAATCGGTTGAATCGACTGATTCAATTGAAATTTATGAAATTTTGACTGAAGTCACTGTATTGGTTGGTTGATTTGGTTGATTTATGAAAAAATTGATCGATAAGTCTCATAAATAAAAAAATTATGAAAAATGAGACAAATCACCCGATAAATTTTTTAGGTGAGACAAATTATGAGGTAAATTTGAGCAAAAGACAAATAACGGTTGAATTTTATTGACTGATTTATTTATTTATTTATGGGAGAGCTATCAAATAAACTCTCAAACTTTCATAAAAAGTGCAAATAAGCCCTTTTACGGGAGGCTTTGTTCGACTGTCGCCATTCGGGGCGGTTTCCGGTGGAAGTTTTTGATGACATTTTTTGAGCATCTTCTTCATTAAGTCTAGTTTACTCATACCAAATTTCAGCTAAAAAGTCAATCTAGAGGGCAGTCAAATGATTATCTGAAATATACTCCGCTGCCTAACTGCACAGTTAACTTCAAAAATTCATTTGACTCCCTTTCCGATTGAATTTTTAGCTGAAATTTAGTATGGATAACCTAGACTTAATGAAGAAGATGCTCCAAAAATTTCATCAAAAAATTCCACCGTAAACCGCCCCAAATGGTGACGGCCGGACAGTTCGAGGACTTATTTGATAGTTCTCCCTTTATTTATTTATTTATTTATACCCGAGAGCTGCCAGCTTTCCTTGGTGCATCACACAGTCTGTATTCATGCATGATCCAATTGGTTTTGGTTCCTTTGGGTGCTTTCCCCACGTAGAAGACAAGCGCTTTCTTGATTCCAACTTTTCGCCCTTTGGTGGAAATCACCTTATCCGTTCCAGTCGCTTTCCAGTACCCGGAACCCGCGACCCGGTTCGGTCTGGATCCATTCGGGTATTTTCTGTCTCTCGGGCTGAAGAAGTACCACTCCTTTTCTCCGAAAATCGCCTTGCCTGTAAACAAGGCACCCAGCCACATTCTTATTTACTAATGACTTATGAGCCGAGCCATCAATTAAATTTTACGGAGTATAATTGATAATAATATATAGGTAGGCAATTAATTAATGAAATTAACTTAATTACTCGGAAGAACCCAGGGATCAAACTTGTAAAGATCGACTTCTCCGATTATCTGCAGGGAGAAGTCTTGGCCGGCGATCTTTCGGCACAGGTACTGAACCAGAAGCTCCTCGTCGGTCGGGTAGAATCGGAACCCCGGCGGCAAGCTCAGCTGCGAGAGCGGGTCGGCTTCTTCCATACCCGTTTTTTTTACTTCTAATCTAATCTAATCTAATATATAAACGGCGTCTTTTTTTCTGTGATCGAGCTGGATGGAGGCGCCGGGATTTAGTTGGCTTGGAGCTGAGAAATTGATTTTGGATTTGAATTTGTTTGGATGAGAAACTGGGGAGAGAGAGGGGCCGCTATTTATAGAGAGGGGGAGAAAGTAGTGCCGCCGATTTGGTGGGGCCCGCGGAAAGCTTCTCGCCGGATCACGCCACGTATCACCGCGAGTGAGATCTCATGTCCTGCGCTTCCAACACCCACAGCTCTTATTTAAGTGCATGAAGTCCTCAGTTTAGGAAGATGACAAAATATGCCCCTACGTGTCGCCTTCACATCTTGCCACCTCGCTTCTCTCTAATTAATTCTTCCTCTTTTTACTTCACTTCTTCACTTCTTTTTATACTCTGTAATAAAAAAAAATTATGTACCTATAAAAGAATTACTGACTCAACTTCACAAGTGTACAAGGAGGAAATAATGTTTAATGTTTTTTATTTTCTCCACTCTGAACATGGTAAAAGTGCCTAGCCAATCGATCTTTGATATAGAGACGACCACTATTATTTTATAAAAAATTGATCTTCTGATAAGTATATATCGTTTGTTTTACATTATTGCACTTCATATTTAAATCATGCACTTATCTATAAAAAATGTATTTCGAAAACATGTTGTTTTCCGAGCCCATTTGATGTTTTCCCATGGTGCCGTCATCTTTTTTTTAACTGGCCGGTGTTGAGGGTGCATGGTGAAGTCATAATATGCACCCCTCGATCACATAATAAAATACTTTAGACGTTTATAAATCTGGTGTGTTTGAGAGTTGGGTTTGGAGGGGAATGGAAGGCTAATGGAGGTTTATTACCCTCTTTTCATGTTTAAGAGCTTATAAAATTGGAGGGGATGATTTCACATGGCTTTTGTGACCCTTCAAAACCCCCTAAATGCTCAATTTTTGAATTTCTCCAATTTGGAGCGTTTTGAAAGATAATTAACGGAATGGAAATTTAAGATCAATTAAAAAAATATCAGTTTAATTATTTGAATTCGACATATGTGAAAGTGATTTTAATTATAATTCATTCAAAAACTCTCTTCTTCCAAATTTATTACTCCCAAAATACAAAGAAGTGTTTCCTCACCTTCCCCTTCCTTTCCTCTCCAACAACATACCTCCAAAGTCTTCCCCTCCTCTTCCCTCCAAACTTCCAAACATACCCTAAGGGTGTGTTTGGGAATTTGCGGGTGAGGGAAGGAGAAGGCTTTGAAGGGGAGTAGAGAGAAGGGAAGGGGAGGGAGATGAGAAGGGATTCTCTCTTGTTTGGGAGTTAGAAATTTCAAAAGATGAGGGTTTTGGGACTTGAGGGGTTTCAACGGCGGATTAATGGAGCGAGTAGCTAGCAGCTCATAATTTTTGTATGCGGAACTGTATTAGTTTCAGAGGATAAATATGTCATTTGCGTAGCTAGACGTTACAAAACCCTCAAATCTGGGGAATCAGAAAACCCATGTTTTGGAGGGTTTAAGGATTTTAAAACACTCCCAAAACCTTAAGATCAACTCCCAAACACACCCTAAAAATTACTTATTAAGATCATTGCATGACTGATTTAATGGTATATATATATATATATATATATATATATATATATATATATATATATATATATATATATTGGATTCATATGTGCCCTCAATCATATCCCTCACACTCACTCATTGGAGATACATACTATATTTTAAATGAATGAATGGTAATACTACCTAAGTGATATTGAGTATGTGACATTTTCAAACTATGTACGGAATGTCTTGGAAAACCTAGCGTCATTGCGTTTGCATTTCACGTATAAACATTAGAGTCGACCAGACCCGATCATGACCCTGGACTGGTTGGGACCACAACCGGGCGGTTCGGTTAGGAGACCGGCCCCAGGACGATTCACTTGGGTCGATTTCGAGTTGCATTTTTTGGGACTGAGATTGACTGGGCTGATCCCAGTAAAGAAGGGGGGTCGATAGGATTTAAAAAAAAAATTGAGAAGTTAGGAAAAAGTACTAGATTGTGTCCGTGATCAGAAAACTGGTGGTGTCGGTTCACCTCAGCTCACGGTCCCACCCACACCCCCGAGATCGGCCGGTCTGAGATGGAACAGGCCCAGGACCGGAGTGGGTCCATGCTTTATACTTATAAGGATTCGAATTTTTTACGGAGTACAATATAAACATGTAACTGTCACCAATATTTGTACTCGAACAACTACGTATATGGCCACTACATGAGATAAATACATTGTAATGTATGCACCCCGTCATGTATAGCTCATCTGGTTGGTAGGGTGTCATAAGGGGTACATCTTTCAACCATCGAACCACTGACAATTGTGATAAGAAGTTATTATGTAATTAAAATGCATAAGGTTTCTGCAAGTATTTGGGTCAAAATCTCATTCATCATATATGATTAAAGTTTAATGTACATTCTCAGTTAATTGTGTGAGCGGTGATGAGACTCTCACGTACATATGGGGAGTCATCTTTTTTATTTTATTTAAATGTATGCATTGTTAGTATCCTAAACAAAGAAACCATCACATTTTCTAGCATTTCATTTTCTAGGAACTTTTATATCCAATTACAAACAATTGTCATTTATTTAGACAATACTCTTCAACTTAAATTATTCGTTGTTACCAACAGTCTGAACTGCATTTCATAATCGTTTTAAACTGAAAATTTAGTATCTAATTTTAATCTCATCAATACTATCAAAATACTAATCACAACATATATATCTAACCATAAGAGTATGGTTAATATGGTATTTAGATGAAATATTTCATGTTTCAAATACTTTTCTATAACTACCGGAATTACTTAACCAGTTTAATTAGATGTTTCAAATTAACCTTTTTTTTTCTTTTCGAAACACAGCTGGTATAAATAATACTCCCTCCGTCCCTTAAAACTTTGCGAACTTTCCTTTTTTAGATGTCCCACTAAATTTGCCATTTTTCCTTTTAAGTAAAGAATTTGTGGTTCCAGTTAATTCTTTCTCCTCTGCACAAAACTCAACCACACAGTTTTTACTTTATTAATCCTCATGGTGGTCAAATTTGTCAAAGTTTTAAGAGACGGAGCTAGTATGATATTTTTGGGAAATTCTTATAATGTGATCTGATTTTAGGATGGAGAGATTACATCACAATTTGAAAGCATGGAAAGCATAGAAAACAAAACCCGGTTGCGGATTTGATGGTTAAGCTAAACGAAAAGTACAGAACTGTTATTTTGAACTAATTTTTCAGATAGAAAAGCGGCGTTTTCCTTGCGCGGTAGGCAGGATTCTAAGGCAGTCGGCAAAAGAGATTTAAAAAGTGTGGATCCAGAGTAGGACACGTGCACACACGTGTCACAACACTCAGGGATAAAAGTAGAGCCGTCTTTCAGAGTTAGGCGTAATTTTTTTGAGAAGAAAAGGATGGGTGGTAGCCTGGTAGGGCGGGAGGGGATTAAAAATCTAATGGGATTAATACAAAAACAAATTTCATCTACAAAAAATCACTTTAAAAGTTCCAAAAATGAAACTAAACTTCTACCAGTGACAATTACCAAACACACCAACTCTCAATTCGATCGTGACCAATCTGATCGTGACCAACTCAACGTGATTAACCCGATCGTGACCGGTTCGACCGTGACCAACCCGATCGTGATCAATCCGACCGTGATCAATCCAACCGTGACATATTCGACCGTGACCAATCCAACCGTGACCAACCCAACCATGACCAATTCAATCAATGGTCAATCCAATTAGTGACCATGACCAATTCAACTATTGACCAATCGGCCACTAACGCCTTGACCACAGCTGCCTCGACCACCACCATCCCTGACCACCACTCCATCCGACCACTGCCAAGCTCAGTGACAGCTGCTCCTGCCCCGCACCTACACCCTCCTCAGCCTAATGAAGAAGTCAATTAGGTCATTGTATTTTTTAAAAAAAATCAATCAAATCCCCGAGCTTTGTAAAAACGTTCAATTGAGTACTTTTGCAGGTTACTTGACATGTCAGTAAGTCACCCGCTGACATGTCACACACATGGCGGTCCACATGTGACCACGTCACCAGCAAATGGCTGACTAGACGTCCACACGTGTGCCACGTCAGCAAAGTTATTGCTGATTGGGCTGCCACGTTTGCGCCACGTCAACGGGTGACATGCTGGCATGACAGGTGACCTCTAAATTGACTCAATTGAGTACTTTTACAAAGTTCGGGGATTTGATTTTTTTTAAAGTACGAAGACCTAATTAACTTTTTTCATGAAAGTATGAGCATCAAAATGACAGTTTTCCCTTAATATAAGCGTTTTCCTTTTTAAAAAAAGACATTATGATCTCACCCCGCAGCAGCCGTACGCACAAGGGTCAAACCCAAGCGCAAACCTGCACCTGAATGCGGGCCATGAAGAAGGCTGAGCTAGAGGGTGTCACCTGAGCGATCGCTTTAGCTTAGGCCCAAGGCGAATGACCCTAATACATGTATAGATATGGATGCGGAATGAACCGGCCCATGTCATCACAACTTGTGGAAAATCTGAATTTGATGGGAACTGTGACACCGCACCCGAACGTCCTTGAAATTCAAATTAAATTTCAAAGCTTATGTATTGAATTTCCCTATTATCGAACAACTGTAAAACAATTAAAGTTCTACGTAACGTGTGATTAATCATATTACCGTTGGGCTCGTATAATAGTAATGGACTTCAAAATAATTAATTGGGCCATCTTATTGATATTGGGGCCCAACATTCTTAAATAAAGATATATAACCCCTCGATACAAAATAAGAACGGTCGGGCACTTCAAATGTGATTTTGGGCCTAACCTGCTAAAAATAGCAATTATTCAAGAATGACGTCCTAGACCCACTCGAGTGTGACCCACACGGTTAGTAGCCCAGCTATATAAATATTAATGTCATAAATAAGTGATAGAATGATTGGAGAAGACTACAAATCCCTATGGTCCCATCTTTGGCATTATTAAGCTAAATAATGGGAGTAGGGTCTTCTTTTATAATTATACATCATATAAATTATTGGGGTCATCCTACACATATCAGAGATCAATGATATGATGTAGAAGGTTTGATTTTATCTAAATAAATTGGGATGAGTACAAAAGTACATCTTGTGAC